CTGGGTGATAGCAAATACTCTTCCCTTCATCTGAGGCTTTGGAGCTATCTCTCCCTGCTTTGGAAGCTGTTGCATCTGTAAGCTAGAACATTATCTAATCTGGTGCCCCAATTTTTTACATTTAAAATAGGCTCCGGTATTCCAATAATAAGGGCTCGATCCATGGTTTTTCCCACATTTTTTACATGGTTCTATTGGGTTTTGAAGTGGCAAGAGCCGTGGCTTGTTTGTCCTTTCAAACCGATGTCGATTAGATGGTGTGAGTCTAACCTGACTTTTCTGATTTTTCGTCTTTTGGTAATCTTCAAAATCTTTTTCGACAATTTGGGCTCGATCCACTATTTCAGCATAAGTTCTCAATTTTAAGATTGATATTCTGCTTCTAATAGCTGGTCTGAGACCCCTTTCAAATTTATTCACCTTTCTTGCCTCATTGTTAATCATTTGTGGTGCAAACCTGGCCAATTCAATAAACTTGGCCTCGTATTATGCTACTGTCCGGTTTCCTTGGATTAAATCTAGAAATTCCATTTTTTTTTGGTCTCGAACAAAATCTGGGAAATACTTTTCATTAAATGCCTCTATAAATACTTCTCAAGTCAATGGTTTATTTTCTTTGACCAATACTCCTTTTGCCATTTGCCACCAATGTTGTGCTTCACCTTCTAACATAAAAACTGTCAAGGCCACCTTCCTATCAGCAGGACATTCCATTACCTTGAATATTTTCTCCAATTGCATAATCCATCCCTCGCCTTCCAGTGGGTTTACAACACCCTTAAAAGAAGGTGGGTTCAATTTCTTAAATTGTTTGATATTACTCTCACCATTTCCCTTAACTGACTACTTGGGTGGATTGTTGTTTTCCATTTGATGTTGCATTAGAGCAACTATATTTTCCAAAGCTTTGTGAATTCCTTCCATATTAGCTTCAGCTATTCTGGATCTTGACTTCGTCCCGATCTGTACACGCAATAAATATGATTTTAAATACATTCTTTTTAAATTTTCTAAGAATCTTAAACCTATTGCTCTGATACCATAATTGTCACGCCCCAAGAATTGGCAATACTGATATTCTTGAGATGTGACAGTCAAAACATATATACATCTCATGGATAGGACAAATTTACAGTGGCGAATTCTTACAAAGTAACAAAAGAAAGTTTAAGCACAACAACTATATCTTCCAAAGTTGATTCTGACGAGCACTCAAAACGAAACCGCAGTTATCCTGAAAAAATGTTTACCATAATTTGATGAGTTTGGCTACTCAGTAAGTGATTATCATAATCCTAAAAATAATCATGATTGAAAGATATCAATATTTTCAAAAAGGAGATCTATTAACATAAATGCATTAACAATTTCACTTTAAAAAAAAATGCATAATTAAGTACAATTCGAATAATTGAAATGTGTATAACATTTTAACGACAATGCATAATTCAAAGGATTTCACAAATTACCCTACTGGTGTCCCAAGTACATCACCTATATACCCCATCAGTGTCCTGATGGGCCCACTTAATCCCTATCGACGTCCCAGATAGGTTCACTTAATCTCTGCAGATCCACTTATACCTCATCGGCGTACCGGATGAGTCCCCTTAATGTCTACCGACGTCCCAGATAGGTCCACTTATACCTCACCAGCGAACCGGATGAGTTCACTTGCATACTTAAAGTATTTCTAAATCTCTTTAAACATTCGAAAGCAGCAATATCATGTACTCAACATATCACTGAAATTATTAATATGAATTTTACTGAAATCATTAATAACAATCACTTTCAATAACATTTCTAAAATAACCAGTCAAATATTTTGGGCTCAAATGAAAAAAGGTAGCAGTTCGTAAAGACGTTCTAGCATAATTGCCAATCTAATATAGATAGAAAAACTCTTATAGAAATTCACGAATACATAATTATCACAATTTATGGGATGTCAATTCGCAAATGAACATTTCACAGACAATGCTATAATCAAATGCAAAAATATCAGTTTTCAAATAATAAGGCAGTCATTTGCACATGAAATTTACAATGTCTAAATATTCGAAAACAGTAGAAAGAAATCTCACAATTTTACTAAAAGCATAAATATCATATTTTTTTTTAATAATTTTACAGTATCTAAAATTTTCTAACAATGGACAAGAAAAAAAAAAAAATTATTTCTAAGAATTTACAGCATTTAAAATATTTTACAATAGATAAAATGTCACCATTTTTACTAAAAAGATTATTCTTGGAAATAATGAGGTTGCTTGCGCATAAAATTTATCGCGCCTAAAATTCATGATAATAAGCAGAAGTAATTATTTCATTTTATTTTTAAAAAGAATGGATTATTTTTTGAGACAATGAGGCCACTTACCTAAAATATTTGAGAGAGAGCTTCTGATAAAAATTCGGCTAGAGACAGAAAGAGCTCACTGCGTTTCGACTAGAGAGAGGAAGATCTCAAAATTTTTTAGGGTGGGAGTCCTCACCTCTTCTATTTAAATTCTTAAAACAATTTATTATATTATTTTATTAAGTTACACCTCATACATGAGGTGTAACAATTATATTACTCCTGAAATGTTAAACCCCACATCAACTAAAGGACGTGGTAAAGGTGAGGAAAAGCTTAAACCAAAAGCTTTTGAAAATAGTGATGGTCCCTAAGGACCATCATGCTCATGTGGACCATCTCTTATTAAAAGTTTATTTTCTCTCTTTTTTTTTTTAATTTTAGGATTATTACAAGATTTTTGGCATAATGTGATTAAGAGAATTCAATGTAAATTCGATATGTGGAAACCCAAGTATTTATTTCTTGGGGGAAGGATGACGCTTCTAAGATCTTGCTTGGCAAATCTTCTGGTCTATCAGATGTTGCTTATTAATATGCTTGCCTCGGTTGCCAAAAAGATTGAGAAAATGATGAGGGACTTCCTGTGTGGCTCCAAAAATAATCAGCGGAAGTTCAATTTTTTGAGATGAGATAGGGTGTGTACACCCATGAAGGAAGGGGTCTGGATATTAGAAGCATTAGAATGGTTGATCAAGCTCATTTGTGTAAATGTTGGTGGAGGAGTCTTCACTTAAAAGTTATGGTTCCAAGTCCTCTTTGCTAAATATGAGTTAGATCGGAAGTATGGCTTGGGGGAGGTAGGAGGAGAGATACTACTCATATTGAGAGACTGTAATGATAATACTCTTTTTTCTATATTGAGCTGATAGGGTGTGCAACGACAAATTTTGCTGAATTAAGTGCGCTTTATCAAGGATTGAAAATTTTTAGAGAGAGAAATTATAGCCATACATATTGGATGGAAGGGGATTGTGAAGTCGTATAATAAGGAACCCATTCTTTGGCAGTTAAGACCGCTCTGGCTAAGGATTATGGATTTGTCTTCAATTATTACGGTCTCCTTCACTCATGTTTAGTGCGAAGCAAACTCGGTGGCGGACAGCTTGGCTAAGGGGGGTGCCTTTTTTTTCTCTTTTCATCTCTGATGATGTAATTTTGTTTTCATAGTATTAATAAAAGTATTAACATTGGTCAAAAAAAAAATGGTGTAGATCAACCATTGCATTAGTGATTAGATGAAGTTCAATTGAAACTATGGTTCATCTCCACCATCCATCTTTGAGGATGGATGGTCATTCTAGTGAAGCTCTTAGAGAATAGAGAGAGCAGTCAAAAAAGAAAAAACTTACATGAAAACTAAATAATCACAAAAAAAAAAAAAACAGAAAAGAGGAGAAAACATAAGAACTAAGAATTAGCAAAACAATGAACATGACTAATGTACTCCTTTTTCTGAGTAAATATGTGTAAAAAGAGGAAAATCAAATAATTAAACTAAATAACACAAGGAAATAGAAATCTGACCTTCTTAATACATGACCCGAAAGAGACAAGAAAGAGTTGTGGAAAGAGACTTTAAAGCATGGTATAAATTAAATAAAAAACTCTAAATAATTAAGAATCACTAAAACAAGGTGAACGATCAAAATGGCCAAAATGAAAGAAAGAAAACCAAAAAAATAATAAGAAAAAGTTGATAAATGATGTTTTTCCCCTGGGTGTTTTTAAAAGATCGAAAACTCAATTAAGCAACCAAACTTTTTTATTTTGAATGTTAAGAATAGCAGTGAATGATTGAAAAGCCATCTCTTGAATGAATTAAGAAGGAATATATATTAAGAAACCAGGGGACCTCTAGCTATCTCCCCTCAAAAGTTCTGATGAGAATGAAAATCAAAGAGAGCCAAACTTATATATGAGTAAGGGGTTCAAACCTAATTGCAAGTCCCATTTAATATAAGACTATAGGTTCGTTAGAGTTAAAATTGCATATTTATCTTGGTTATTGATGGGGTAATTATTTATAGAATTTTGGCGCCATTTTCCAAAAGTTTGCATCAATTTCTAGAAAGAGAGAGTAAATATTATCCATAAGAAAAAAAAAAAAAACCCAAATTTTGTTGGTAGATAATATCCAAAAATATAGTGGGTAATCTAAACAATTAGACTTTAAAAAATTTCTCAATAAAAGGGTCTTAAAAAAATTTTATTTAATAAATTGTATTTAATTCCTCACCCTTTCATGTGGATTTGAGAGCAAAATTAAGGCTTTGCTAGATAGAAAAAATTGGAAATTTTTTAATTGATTTTTCCTAATTGTAATTTCAGGAATTGACGTTTGCTGTATGGGGGTGTTTGATTGATTTGTTTGAATTATAATTGGGAAATATTCAAATTCTATGGGCTGTTTGATTGTCAATAAAAGGCTGTCCTCATCCCTCAAAACTACAGCCACAACTATATCCACCACAACAATGCCCTCCCTTATAGTAGCTATCTAGATGGAGCATTTTATCAAACTGGTTTAAAAGAAAACAGGAAAATAAATAGCATCAAGTTGCAGAATTACACCCAATAATCGAGAATTACAGGCTAGTCTACCTCATAAAACCAAAGAAGAGTAGACCGAAGGCATAAGAGAATCACGGGCCACATTCAATGTTGAGTGAGCAGAAGTACATAAAATTTAAGAATGAAATAAAAGGCTTGCTCAAGTATCTAATTGATTTGAGAACCTTGGCAAATCTTGACTGTCCTATAATGGCTTCCGACATGCATGCGAAAACTGTTGAAGCTGACTACCTTGGTGAAGGATCAAATCCTGGTTCCTTCTCCATATTCATTGAAGTAGTTCTGGGGCTTGATGTGTGGTATTCTATTCTTGAAGTTCTCCTGCGACACGATGACTCAAGCTCTACACATCCTCTCAGTTCACCGATAACATCACTTATCATTGGCCGCCTAACGGCTGTCTCTGGTGTACATGCCAATGCTATCTTAACGGCTTTTCACATTGAATTAATCTCATATTCCCCCTGCAACCTCGGATCAACCACACTAACAATGTCACCTGTTTTAATCTTGGGAGTTACCCAGTGTACTATATGTAGTTTTTCTTCATCCAAAATTATTGCAGGCTGGCCTGATATAAGCTCCAAAAGAACTATCCCAAAGCTATAGACGTCGCTCTTGTCAGTGAGCTTGTTCGTGATGTTGTACCTGCAGTTAATGGAGTTAATACATACTTAAATAATGACCCATGGAAATACTTTTTCATGAAAACAATATATTCTCAATAAAAGAGATTATTATTATTTTTGAAACTTTCAACATTGTATTAAGAGAAGAACAGAGATTAGTTTACTATGTAGATCAGTCTTCTTAGAAACTATCTATATCTGCATGGGCAAGATATTGGAAGGGAAGCAAAGGACAATCAAACTATCTGTGGTCCCTCTCAACCTTCTCGCCATACGCATACATAAAAGTATAAGTTATTTGTGGAAAAACAAGTCTTGTGGCTTCTGGTTTAAATGAACAGCGTAAAAAAGATAGGTTCCTTCAGCTAGTTGCTTACTTCCCTGTAGGATTGTGTGTAGAGGCCCAACCCATACACTAGAAAATTTCATCTTTCCTTTTAGTTCTGTTGACTATATGAAGAGAATCAAAGAAGCATGACATTTATTTAAAAGAACTTCCACAGAGAATTCATGGCCATATATCTTCCCTAAATTAGATAAATACTTTGGTTGGAGAAAAATGGGTGAAAAATGCATCCTTCAAATGGCTAACAGTAAGCTGGAAAGGAAATAAAGGTCTGGCACTTTCATTTCTGGGTGGAAGTAAAGAAAAGTAGGAAAGAAACGAGCAAGAAATCGAAAACAGAGAAAGACTTCTGTGAATGATGGTTGTGTATAATGTTTTTGCGGTTTTCTGCTATTCGGTGATCAGTAACATACTCAGAATCCACATATCCAGGGGTGCCCGCGGCAATAGTCCATATGTGAGTGTCATCCTCAGTTGGCCCTAATCTTGACAGCCCAAAATCTGCTACTTTGGCTTTCAGTTTTTCATTTAAGAGGATGTTGACGGTCTTGACATCTCTATGAATGATTGGTGGTTCGCATCCACAATGAAGATACTCCAATCCTACAACACAAAATACTTGTTGAGAAATTGAAATCAAGATCAGAAAAAGGTTATATTTGATATGCATTACCTTGTGCAACACTCAGAGCTACTCGAAGACGCTGCTCCCAATTTAAGGATACTGAATTTCTGTTTTTATCTGCATGACATGGCAAACACTTCAAGGTTCTTTCATTCCAACGCTATATGAATCTTGTAATGCTCGAGCACAATGAGGCTACTTATGAAAAGTATACGCACAGATCTGATAGAATTTCACTTCTTCGAGGTTGTTTTTGTGTCAAATTTTTTATGTAGCTTCCTAAGTTACAATAATATATTTGTTGAATACTGTAACAGTATAGTAGTACTATGTTTGTGTCTGTGAGTTAATCTTTCCAACCATGTGATCAATGCAAGGCAATTTTCACAAGTTTATGTTCCAATTGTGAGTTGCTTGATGATATCTAATATATGTTCTAGGATATTCTTACCACTAGTGTACATGAAATTCTTTTAATAATTTTATTTATTTGGACACCAAATACTACAGTTCTTTTCAGCTGGTGGTTATTGGTAGTTTTCAGGAAGAACGAAGTTATCCATATCCTTGATTAATCTACATCCTATTTTAGTGATGCTAATTACTTTCCCTTCTGCTTTCGGTCCTTTCCAATCTTTTCTAAAAGGGACAAAAGCGCCCCCCATATTATCAATAACTCTTCAAGTGTAGCTTGAATGATTCTTGGTCTTCTAGAGAATTGACCAAAGTTCGAGAAAATGTTACCTTAAATGTTGCCCTTAACTTCTTCTAGATTCCTCATTAGATTTTTACCTCTGTGTGAAGTTCTCATATTCATGGCTTGAACAATTTATTTTTTTTAATATATGTTTCATGACCATTGTTTGAAAAAGCACCCGATCAAACCGGTAACCGTCTGGTTAGATCAACCGCTATTTTAAAAATAAAAATTCAAAAAAGTGTTTATAAAATTATAAGGAATTTTATTTGTAATATATTTTTTAATTTTTTTACATTATGTTAAATATTGAGAATTATTTTCGTCATTAATATTCCCTTTTAAAATCCATTTTTTCATTAATTTTTTACTTCGTTGTTTTAATCATTCTTTATATGCTGTTCATATTTTAGTAGAATTTTTTTTGCATCTTTTTTTTTTTTTCAATAATTTTTTGGCCACCCGTAACTTGCCTGGTTAGAACGGTTGAATCGGCCGGTTCACCAGTTAGGTCGGTTAAATTGCTTCTAGCCCCATGTTCAGTAAACCGCTTTGGTTCGATTTTGCGAACACTGGTCGTGACCATTATGGAAGTAGATGGAGTTTGGGAACCTCTTGACAGAACTATTGGCAAAATCAGATAATTCTTATTTGAAATATGTATGGTCCTTATTTCTTTACTTTTTCCATAGTTTTTGTTTCATATATCTTATTTTGAATTACTTCCTGTTTATATAGCGTAATCTTTCAATTTGTTATTTCTATGTATTGTATGCATTTTATTCTGTATTTAAATCCTTTTCTTGCATGTCTGTGCCATGGCATGCTCTGCCATTTGTAATATATTTACTATATTATTCTCTAATTCAGTGATTCAAAAAGCGGACCGCCCAGTGCCTAGGTGGTCCAGAAGGCCTGGGCGATGCGCCCAGGCCTAGGTAGCCGATTTGGAAAGCGGTCCCTGGGTGTCCGCTTAGGCGGTACAGAATCAGCCAAGGTGGGCGGCCAGTGCCAAGCTCAGGGTGGCCGGAGCCTACACCCTGCCTAGGGGGTACGGAACCCGACTACGCCAGCGTCCCGCCCAAAAGCAGAATTTTTTTTTTGTATTGTTCTTTTTTTTTAAGTATAAAGGGTTGGAATGATGGTTTTAAGTTCATTTGACATTTAAAACTTATTGGAGCACATTTTAGAGAGGTAAAGCCTAAAAAAAACTAGTTTTTGGTGATTTCATTAGGATCGAAGGGTTTCTTAAAGTTTACAAAAATTGATCAAAACATCACCCATTGATATTAGATTTAATTTTTTTATGTTTTATAAATCTATTGGGGGTTTTTTAGAAACTTTTGAGTGATCTAAATACCTAATTTTTATTTTTTTATATTATATATCCTTTTTTCATTCAAATGGGCATCCTTTTTGGATTTGATTCGACCTGGACGCCCGCCTAGAAGCTGGGAAGCCTGGACCCCCCAGGCCGGCCGCCTAGGACCAGCCTAGGGCTTTTTGAAACATTGTTCTCTATGCTTCATTTATCTAGCATTCTCTCTTCAAATTACTCTTGACAAGGTGAGTTTAATTATGTAGAAGGGTCCAACATTGACAATGTTGTAAGGCTACTTGGAGACATGTGCATTCATATTATTATAAGGATATTTCAAGTTAAGGTGGTGCTCTTAGATATCATTGACATGATCCTGCTGCCGTCCTATAGATATCTTAAATATGAATCTGCTTCTCAAGTATTTGCTCGCGACAGAGTGTCCTTGATTTGTTAAGAAAAAAATTCCTTGTGCACTTCAAGATTATCCATTTCTCCATTCTTGTTTCATTTGCATCAAGTGGTCTCTTTGGTAATTGTATGTATTTCCAGAGTATGCTAGATTTACTTAATAAGCATGGGTCACGGGATCTCAACCCTGTCTCTTGTCCTGCTGAAATAACATCCATTACTAGTATCACGCTGGAGTTCCTAAGTGGAAACTGGGGGGTGGACATTTTCTATGAGTTACATTCCCTACCTCATAAATACTGATTTACTCATGATCTGGTGACTTTTATTTACTCATGATCTTGTGATTTCTCTTCTTAAGCAATCACGCATCACTCTCAAAAGAGGATTCTGATTTCCCATGTCTACTGTACCATCTCATACTTGCTTTACAAATGCAGATTGGGACATTGAGCTTGAAACCCAAATTTCAAAATGTCACATTATATTTCCTTGGAGAGAAATTTATCGGGGTGACAAAAAATAATGGTTTCTCAGTAGTTAGCTATATTCTTCTGAAAATAAAAGTCTCTTATACCGATCCTCAAATCCAGAGTTCCATGCTACTCCAGAGAGATCTAGTTACAAGAAATCAAATGTCACTATTTATCAATTAAGTTCAATATGAGAATGATCTCAGAATAGGACTATCCACAGAGAGCCATACTCATTATATGGTTGCTTTTAAAGCAGCATAAGCAGATTTTGCTAAAGATAATTGTCTTGCACTGGTTTTTTTTTCCAGTTTACTTATTTAGGTTGTTATTGTATGGAGTACTAGAGGCATAACAACGAACAAACTGTTCCATTTATGTAAGGACATCAAGCGGTTCGGTTGCTTGCATCTATCTGTTTCTAAATGTACAATAGGTAGGCGTAATAAAAATGACTAGAATGTTACTTGGAAGAGGGACTTATAATCAATGTTCAAAACATGGCTCTGACTTGGGAATCGGGAGGACCACAAGTCCGAGTCATCTGTACAGTGTTGCTCGTCTGTTAGAGACTTGGATGAGTTTGTACAAGTTATAGTATCAACATGTACGAATTGAATATGTGTGACTGCTCCTATTCGAACATGGCGCCTTGCCCTGTCTGAGTAACTCAAGCGGCTGAGCCTAAGTAGACTCGCCTGAGTTTTAGAACACTGCTTAATCATTAGTGGAAATGTCACAAATTAAAACTAACATTGCAGATGAAAATGAAAAATATTCTGATGGCTTGGGAATTGTACCTGACAAAATCTCTTTCAAATTTCCTTTTGACATGTACTCATATAGCAGAATCTTTTCTGGGCCTTCGTCACAGAATCCTATCAATGAGACCAAGTACTTGTGATGAATTCTCATCAACAGTTTAACCTGCTTGACCAAGTCCCAATGCATATATCCTCAGTAAATTTATACACAAGTATATCAAATGGTATTTAGTTTTTTTTGTCTATACGAACCTCTGCAAGGAATTCCCTATATTCTTGCTGTGATTCCTGGGACAGTAACTTCACAGCAACTTCATGGCCATTTTCTAGGCATCCATAGAAAACAGGCCCATAGCCTCCTTTGCCAATGGCCTTTTCAAAGTCATTGGTGATTTTTACAATTTCTGCATGTGTAAATGCTCTGGTGGCATCTGGTTTTGGTGTGTCATCCCTTTCTTTGTTACACAATTTCTCTTCTCCTGATTCAATGGTGTAAGAAAAAAATACGTATATCATAAACTATATATGGATCTGATCAGACATTTACACTACCATCATTGGAAAAATTTCCACACTAAACTTTCGGGCATGCCTCATTTAAAGTGCTTTCGAAGATGCAGTCATAACCAGTTTCCCTGATGCATGTCTTTACAATTTTACTATATTTAGAAATGATCACAAAATTGCCTTTTCTGGAGATTAAATAACAACTAATTTTGAGAAAAATTATATACCCGAGAGTTTCAAAATTAAAAATATTTTCACCTTACACAAAATATGAAACGGAGAATGGAATTATTATCTAAATGGGAAGATGTAGGTTGTACAGGAAACAAAACCTGGGGCCACACAGGCCCAAATGTTCCAAAAGTGAAATGTCTATTTTTGGTTCATCTAGAAAAGAGGTCTGAGTAGGTTTCTATAATGGTTTCTGGAAAAATGAATTCCCATTGCTTACTTTAAAACTTCACATCTGTTTCTCTTTTTAAAATATAATCAAGTACACTTAATCTTGGACTATCCTCTACCTAATACACAGTTGGCTTAGTAGTGGTACGGTTTCGGGGTTGTGTCATTGAAGTTTCAGGCCTGGTTTTTGAGGTAGCTTGGGCTGCATAGATGCTTCCTATTTGGAAAAAGGACCCCAACAATAGTTCAAGAAATTTGCATGAGACATTTTAACCTGGAACTTAGAACTCAGAAAGGTGGGTTTCTGAAGAAATTGGAATGTTGAAAAACAATTAAAGACTTCTAGGAGACAATTAAAGAGCTTGAACTTGTTCACTATTTACTAATTAAAATGGGAGTTCACTTTTAATCACGTACTGCTGAATTTTTGTTAGGGATGCAACGTACTGTTCAATTTTTGGAGCCTGTAGGAGGAACTAAGTTCATCATCATCGTCAGAGCGGTTTTGTAACTATTTGAGATTGGCTGTAGGAGGAACTAAGTTATGGTAAAAAATATTAAAGCACATTTATTGGAAGCTTAGTGGAAAACAAAACCATTTATTTGGAACATTCAGAAAAAAAAAAAAACCATTTATTTGGAAGCCTGCTAGCTGCAGGTCATGAAACTAGCCATAAGAGTCATCCTCCATCTAGAAAAAACTACCAAACTTTGCTGTGTATTTTACAATATATAGAAAAGTCTTTAGGCTTTTACTAGCTGATTTCTTCTAAGATAATCAATTGAATTCTGTCTTGTGTTATACCAAATTTCATTGATTTGACTTCATAAGCAATTGTGGTGGGTTTGTTGCCCCATAGATGGGGATTGTTTCTTTGAAATTTTAGCCCTGGTTTTTGGCCCTGGGCTTACTGCTTAAATTCTTACTATCGGAAATAGACCCAACTATGATCTATGATGCCTGTTTTGTCGTTCTTTTTATTTTTGAGAAACTGTCAAGTCAGTGTGGAGTAAATTGTTGAACCACAAAAGGAAACATTTTCTTCAAAAGTTACTTGATTCTTTTGGAGGAGACAACTGGGTATTCCAGAGACATCAATTTGAATTACTTCGTGTTTACTTCCTCAAAGATGTGTTCTTGTTGAATCCCAAACCATACAAGATAGATGAGGATGCTGTGCTCTGATTTCAATTTTGAACGATGTAAAGATGAGTATAAGATATGTTATACATTACTATAACAAATAGAATGAAATATGCACCTTTGAAAGAAAATTTAAATGTTGTTTATCAAAAGGCGAAAATAATTATATTTGTACATAAGCAGTGCCACCGCTTATGTTCAAGCAGTGATATCAGTGCCACCTCTGTTAGGTGCCTTTATCTCACCCTCCGGATCTAGATGATCTAGCATCACGTATCGTAGGTTTCTAGGAAACCTGGGACTTGAGATTGCTGTCTCAGTAACCTTGCTCAAGAGCAAGGGCAGGTATACCAACCAATGAGATAGGAATTTAGGGTGGGACTTATTCGGAATGGCTCGTCTGATGGACAACCATGGCTTGTTTTCAAGAGATAAGGGTACAGTCAACACTTGAGAAAGCATAATTGATGGGTTGGTTTCAGTTAAAGTGGAGTTACCTTTTTGCTAGAATGCCTTGGGGCTTTTAGTATTGAGCAAATAAACGAGTTTCCCAGGGTTTATTTTTCTACCTAGATGGTAGTTGGTTATTGAAAGTAGATAAATCTATTTGCTCTCTAGTGTAATTGTTGAATCAAAACAACAATGTACTCCCAACTGCATAATAACAATCCCTCCTTCTCTATCACAATCCTTATCTATTTTAATAATAACTTTTGCAGCCCTATAACATCCACAGGGGTGTCTTTTGGACTATAACTTATTTGTAAAACCAATGCTTCTTCCCCAACACAGAATGCTCATAAACATACAATGGTACAAAAACTTTTAGTGTGCACATGAAAATAGTATGAAACACAAGAAATATTTTCCAAGTAGAAAACTTCTCCATTTTTCTCATACTTTTGAGGTACTAGTAAATAACAAAAAATAAGAAACCGTTAATCTTAAGAGCTCATATTTACGTGTCTTGACTAAATTGAAGCATGCTTTGGGAATACGAGTTATTGTTTTGTGTAAAAATTGAGCATAGGTTATTTTGTGTAAAAATTGTTTTGTGTAAAAATTGTTTTGGTGTTCTTGGGTTATTTGGGACTTCGGAGTGGCATAATTGAAAGAAAGAGTATATACTAGATGCGTAAGTATATTTGATATAGTAGATGTTGGTGAGTAAACTGAAGCTTACCATTTATTTTCATTGTCTTCATTATCAGGACAAATGCAAAGGCAAAGAGCAAGACTATTGTTGCACTAACAGATATCACCACAATAAACACGTTCTTCTTGCTCTTCTTTGGAGTTGGTTTAGAGGAGTTGGGTCTCATAAGGCTGGGATTTTGGAAAATGCTGAACACGTTAAGTTAGCAAATGAACAAGAAGTCAGTTATAAGTGATTCTCTCAAAGAGTAAAATAAAAATGTCAGTATATCAATGCTAACCTTAATAGAAGTACACCACTGTCGTTTTTATCTATTAATGTGCTTGGAACCAGCCCAGTTAGATTGTTTCTTGACAAATCCCTATAAACAAACCATATGCGTGTCCATGAAAATCATATTTGTTTTCATTTCCCCTTTATTGCACTCTTGAAAGATTGGATTTATACTTACAATGACTTTAGTTTGGTCAGATGAGCAAAACTTTCTGGTATGGGACCTGTCAGTTGATTGTTTGATAGGTTCCTGTATCAATAATAATAATAAAAAATTTGAGATTATAGTCTCCTTTATTATTATGTAAAATACTGTAGTTTCAAATATCATGAATATAGCCAGAATTTCTTTGAAAATCAGTTAAATATCCCTCTTTTTGTGGAATGCCATAATGCTCCCTATTCACAAAAACATCAAAGGAGTCCATGGCGTTTTATATTACAACAATCCATGCCTTTATTTGAAAAATTAATGCATTGCATGGCTTTGGACTGCTAAGGATTAGTGTAGGCATATAGTTGGAGTTTTTTAAATATGTGAATTAAGATGGTAATATAGTGTCGAGATTATTTTCTTAGTTCAAACTTCAAACTTTCTTTGTTAGAGAACCCTGTCCAAAAGGGTGAATCTTGTTGCTTTCCTCCAAATGGAGTCTCTTTCATTTTTCTCATGTGGGAGGATCCTATATTGTATAAAGTCTATATAAGGGTGTCTCCAGTCAGGTGCATGTGCTTGAGAGCTAGAGACATGTCGTACAATGGTGGCTGATGCATCTTAGGATTGATCATTGATGGGATATTTGGTATTGTGAGCTCCGGCAATTGATATGCTTCCACTGATGGAACGAGCATCTTCTTTTCTTGGACCCAAACTTGCAGCATTTTGGAAGAAGTGAGAGTTATTGATGCTCCCAGTTTGCCCAATGCATCGGCTTGCCTATTCGGGCTTCATGGTAAAGGGTGAGGGGTAGAGTCTTCAAATTATGTATCAGACTCATAGCTTGTTGGTGATAAAGGAGCAACTCCTTTTTCTTCACTTGGTAACTTCCGTCAATTTGGCAGCTTACTAATTGTGAGTCCCAAATATCAAAAGCATGTCAATCCTGAGTGCATGGGCCATTCATAACCCAGTGATAAGAGCTTCATACTTGGCTTGATTTCCTGAGCATTTCCTCTTCAAATAAAAGGAGTAAGGGAGGAGTCCTTACTAGGGATTAACAACTGCACTTGGTAATTTTTCATCTGATGGAAACCTTTACAGAATCGAACTTGCAACCAAGAAATCGGCTAGAACCTATCCTTTGATAGCACATTGGGGAAAATAAGTGACATCATATTCCATCAAAAGAACAACCATTTGGCCAAACACTCTGATAGCATGGGTAGGCTTATTAAGGTCAAAATAGTTTTTGTAGGAATAAAAAAAATAAGCAAACTGTTATAGAAGTTCTCTATGAAGCATCATACAGGTTCTATGGATAGATATTTTTGTGCTCAATAAGATTACATACCCTTTAGGTAAGGTAAAATGTTTTTTCCTGGTAAAGATGTCTAAAAACTACCCAAAGATGAAGAGAAATTACGATGTTGCCATTCCTCTCAAAAGCCCACCATGGTTTGTCAAAAAAATCCTCATCTCATCCCAAAACAAAACAAAGCTTGAAGATATTGTACTCCTGCAGGAGTATACTGCCTATTTATTTCTTAGGGTAAAATCCCATCTAAGATTAACTTTAGGGTTTTAGGGGATGCAACCTCTTCAACGACATCCTTGCCAAGACCTTGCTTTCACCGTTAAGATATTTCATTTTCAAATCACATTCCCTATTTTGAGTTTTATCTTTCTCTTCAACTCACAATTGTATTTCTTAACAATTTACACATTTCCTTCCCAAACACACTTCATCATAACTAGAACCTCTTTTCAAACATTGAGTGTTGCTGCTTTTCTAATAAATTTGTAACCTTCCATATTTAGAGAAGAAAGCGAAACGAAGGTATTTTTTAATCTTTACACATGCTTCACATTTTCAAAAGTTTAAACCACTCCAGCATGCATCCTTATGGAGATAGAACCTATTCCAATTTTGTTACTCATTAAGTTGTTTTCCATTAATTCTAACTTACCCTCACATGGCTTATATGCATCAAACCTTTATCTATTTGGGCAGACTCCAGTATTACGAATCCAACTTTGCTAGTACGTAAGATTGGATCCTACCATCAACACCTCATCTTTAATAGCTGAATGTTCATTCTTTAACCATATGAACCATATTCTTGGCTTCACCTTGCCATTTCATTCCCAAACCTAAACCCTTCAAGGAATTTACCCTCTTCTCCCAACAATATTTCTGGGCTTGCCACAAAATCAACAATCACTTTTGTCATGAGATCTTGACTTTGATCGGAAATAAGCCATACCACTTGAGGAACTTCTTGGCAAACCACCCTTTTTATTTGACGGACCTCTTGCTACAAGTACATCCCTTCTTGAACCATCAAACAATTCGTTTAGCACTTCGACCCTTTCATTTTAGCACTTCGACCTTTTCATCTTGTTTCTCATCGCCATGGAATACATTTTTTTTTTAAAAAAAAATTTCTACTTGTGAGGGATACATGGCTCATAATTCCTCTGCCGTCATTTCTCCCACCATATTAAATAGCATTTTATTTGATAAACACAAGAAAATATTGGCGAGCGTCTTCCTATCAAATTCTTCACAATCATCTTCCTTTATATTATTCACTTTTTTTTATTTTCCTTGTAATGCTTTATATTGACCATGTTGCACCAATATATTTTAAATTTTTATTTTCTAAAATTTAAAATTATTCCATCAAAATTTTCTACTTCAAATTAGTAACTACTTATTTTCTCAAATTATTACATACTTCCCTTGAGCTTTGATACTGCTGATTGGAAGTTGACTTTCTCGATTGCCCCTGTTTGTGTGAATCCCTCACTACAACTAATCTCCACGTCCAACTCACTCACTTAGCACTTGTAAATCAATTTTAATACTCCAAAAAACCTCAGAATGTATTTGTTACAATAAATTTTCAAGAAAAATAATATGAAACCAAAAGATGCGAAATCGAAAAAACTAAAAACCACAACAAATTACAAATCATAATCTAAACACGATCAATATACAAATATACGTGATTTAGCCTATTTGGGCTACATGTATGGACAACTGGGAATAAAATAATTTTATTATTATAAAAGAATTACAAAAATGGGGTAAATACAATGGTAGCCTTGCAATTAGTAAAACACCATAAATTTTTCTTTTGACTACCACAAAAGAACCATCAAAACTTCCCTTAACTTTAGGGCTCTATCTATAATAGAAAATCACAATGAAACCACCCAAAATAGGGTACAAAACCCCCAATCTCAACCTCATCAAAAGCTATCCTACACACGCACTCCAAAATAGCTTATAATGCCCCATTTTAATGTGTCTGTCACAATGACTAAAAAATACTCGTAACCATGAGAAAAAGTTATTGGGGGTAATTTCGGAACACCGATCTGACAAATATAATATGATCCAAGATGCACTATTTTTTTATTGCTTTTTGTCCATAAATCTTGAGGTAGAGATGATCAATTTGACGCCTTTCCAACATTAAAACAATCTTTTTTAGTATTTTCTTGAGGTATGCCTCACTTTTATAGTATAAGGTGGACGCCTTATATGAAGTTTTTCCTTTATATTATTTATCAATCGCACCTAGTTTCTCTAGAAGTTGGGAGCTAAACTGAGTCTTTTCCCTATCTCCACTTGTGGCATGTGGTCCGATAGCAAAATGTATAATTTGCTCATGTATGCAAATAATTTTTGGACCCGTAATTATGAAGAAGCTATCTACTCATTCTAGCTATTAATGAAGGGTTGGTATACGTCCACATGATGTGGACGCCTAAGTCAGTGGTATAGATTGAAGCGTGCTTAGATAAGTATCTTATTTAAATAAAATATGAAAAATAAAATATGAGACTAATTTTCAGCCATACGAGATCTCAAATAGTAGTTTACATGATGTGTACGGGATACTTTTCTTTAATGAAAAAAAGATGAAGTTGAATTTGCACCAAAAAATTATTCAGAAAAAACTGGGTCCCTACAGAATAGGAAGTCCATCACATAGATTTTTTTGGAACTCAAAACTCTCTCTTTTTTTCTTTTTTTTCAAGAATATCTTACTTTTAAAATGGAAAATTGTTTCACATGGCGGGGACTGTATTTCTACATTTGCGGTTCCCAAGGTATAAAGCATCCATCTTAAAGATGGATGCAAATAGGTGGTCCATCTAAAAACAATTGAAATTAATGGGTTTAAATGTTTTTTTAATAGAATTATTATTTTTAATTTTCAAAATTTATTTTTTCTTCATATTCATTAACTCCATGTTAGAGATTGCATGTCTTTAAAAATTAGGTCCAAAATACCATTTCAAAAATAGATATTTAAGAGGTGACTATTTTCTACATGGACTCATGGAAACTGCATCCTTCTAAAAAATTCCTCTCACAAGGGATTTTGCCTTGGGAGTAAGTATGAAATCTAGCCAATGAGGATGCTTTGTGTACGAAAAAAAAGAAGTTAGCTATCAATTTAGCATTCATTTTCAGGCTTATAGGATACCTTCCGATTCGATTTCCTTCATGAAAACCATTAAGTTTTTAGCATTAAACTGACAAACCCCAAAGACATACAATCACATTGCAAAAAAAAGCCTATTGTAGGGTTATCGAGACATTGTTTTATGTTGGTACCGCATGTCATCATATGTTGATATTTGAAAACACATAATTTTATAGAAAATTAGTAAAATGTGTGAAAGGGGTCATTGCAAGGTTCGAACGAAGTCAAAAGTGGTAAAGTCAGTGGGGATTTGGGTCCCTACCCTTCCGTGAGAATCGAGTCAGGAACCTCACCATGAGCCCCTACCCTTTGGTCATTGCAAGGTTCAAACGCAAGTCATCTTAGCCCTTTGCTCTACCACCTCACCATGCATTTGTAACATAAAAAGGAATATCATATATATAGGTAAAAAAGTAATTTATTTATACAATAATTATACATATGTGTCTAGTAGTATTAATTTCCAAAAACAAAGTCTTAAACACCTTTGATATTTATAGATACCAAGACTTGTGTCGGATCCATGAAACACTGCCCGGTGGTTGATGCTCTGTCATGCATGGAATAGTATACATGCACATATTTTAGCTA